GAGGGGTGAGGGAGCACGGCGGCCCACCCAGCAGGGCGGGCCAACTGACTGGCCTTGGGAACGCCGCCTGTCCTTGCCTGGTCCGTTGGTGCTTCTCACCCCCCTGACGCGCCCGCCCTGACGCCCGCGACGCCACACACCTGCCCCACTCCGCCCACTCCGGGCCGGCGCCGGAACTCTCTCGCCGCGGCGCCGACGCTGATCGATCCGCGCCGTGCGCCTGGGCCGCTGCTGCAGGGCCAGCTGGCCGCGGCGCGCAAGGAGCTGGACGACGCGGTCTCCCAGGCCAAGGTGGGGGCGGCGGCGGGCCGCGGCTTGCGGCCTGTTTGCCGACGCTGCGAGGGGGCGGCCGCGCGGCAACGCCGGCGCCGTCGCCGGGCTCGTGCACGGCGGGGTGCCCGCGCTGATCGGACCGGGAACAGGGACCGAACCCTCCGCTGACTGTGCAAACACACACACACACACACATTCATACAACATCCTTGCACCCTTGGCGTGGCGGCACCACCAACACCGACAGGATCTGCAGCAGCTGCAGCGGCGGCTGGAGGAGGCCTCTGACCACCTGGCTTCCAAGGATGCACTGCTCGCAAAGAGCGACGAGGCGCGCGCGTTCGCGGAGGTGGGCGGACGGCGGTCCTCGTCTGGGTCGCGCCCTGAGGGGAGGGAGGGGGTGGGGTTTAATGTGGGGGTGTGGGATTGGGGGCGTGGGTCGGGGCTGAGAGGGGTGAGGGAGCAAGGCGGCCCACCCAGCCGACCACCCCGAGGCTGGCAGCGCGCGAGCACCTCGCCCATGCAACCCCTTGTCTCACTTCACGCACACACGCACGGACACACACACACACACACACACACACACACACACACACACTTCCACACACACACACACACACACACACGCATGCACACAGGACTCGCTAGCGCGGCTTGCTGTCAAGCACGACTACCTCCAGGGTGGGCGATGCCAGTGGCGCGGCTCGCGCGTGTGGCAAATAATACGATTGCTCAATGGGACGGCACGGCGCGCGCCGGCTTGGCGCGAGCACGTTCCCATGCGAAGCCGGCTAGGCGCAGATGGCGCGCTCACAAACCCGCGAGCAAGCGGCGCGTCGCGTTTTGAGGGGGTTGGCGGACTCGGCTTGAGCTGCGCCGCGCGCGGGGCGTCCACATCTTCCCGCGTCTTGAGCGCAACCGTTTCCATTCCACGCAGGTCGCGCGGACGCGCTGAATGAGCGCGTGGCGGCGCTGGCGCATGCGGAGACGGAGCGTGACGCAGCGCTGGCCACCCTGAGGGCGGCGCAGCGGCGGGTGAATGGGGGCTCCTGCTCGGGCCGACGGGTCCAGGTCACGTTTTTCTGCGTCATAGCCGTATGACAGCACGGTCGCATTTTGATGCATTCAGCCGCATTGGTATCTGTGCATCTCGCGACCCCCTGTCCTCACCGCTTGCCGGCTTGCAGGAGCAGGAGCTGCGGCGGCAGCTGGAGCACACATCCGCCCAGCTGGCACCCAAGGACGCCGCCCTGGCCAAGGTCGAGGAGGAGCGCGCGGAGCTGCAGGCGGGGCTGGATGAGGCGCGGCAGCGCGTGACGGAGGCGCGCACGGCAGTGGTTGTTGTGGTGGGTGCGGCTGGTTGGGAGGGAGTGGAGGGGATGCCGGATTGGGGCCGCGTGGACGGGCACGTGGAACGCGGTGCATGCGCGTCAGCTTTGATTGCGTGGGTGGGCGGGGCGCGGGTTTGAGTCCACTCCAGCTTGCGCTGGCTGGTGGGGAAGAGGAGGACGATCCATACGCTACCCTACGCCAGCCTCGCACGCGCGCGCGCGCGTGCACACATTCTCCTCGCACGCCTGCTGCACACCTCCTTTTTACACACACGCTCGCCCACGCATTGCTGCCGCCGCCGGCCCCATGTGGCGCGTTGCAGGGGCGCAGGGCGCTGGAGGCGCAAAGGGAACTGGCGGCCCAGCTGGAGGAGGCCCGCGCTGGGAAGGCGGCTGCGACGGAGCGGCAGGTGGGAGTGGCAGCGGCCTGCGGCCCACGACGCCGCGAGGGGGCCATGTGGCACCGCTGGCACCGCCCCCCCCCCCTAGCTCGTGCTTAGCGACGTGGCCCGTGCGGACCGGACCCGCGAATGTATGGCGGGGGTGCCCGCGCTGACGAGACCCGTGAACGGGGGTCTCTGCCCGACTCAGACCCACATTTGGTGGTGCGCCGGCGTTGCAACTTGCCGTCAACCTCTCCGCTGACTGCGCGCGCGCACATCCACACACACACACATACACATTACACACACACACATTACACACACACACACACACACATTACACACACACACGCACGCACGCACACACACGCCGCCACCACCACAGGGCGCACTGGAGGCGCAGATGGCGACCCTGCGGCAGCAGTGGGACGGATGCCAGGTGCGCCCGCCCCGCCGTCCGTAACGCCACACACCTGCCCCACTCCGCGCGCGCTTCTCAACCCTCTGGGCGGCCCGCCCACCCCGGGCCGCCACTGGAACTCTCTCGCCGCGGCGCCGTAGCCGAGCGATCCGCGCCGCGCGCCTGGGCCGCTGCTGCAGGGGGAGCTGGCCGCGGCGCGCAAGGAGCGGGACGACGCGCACTCCCAGGCCAAGGAGGACATCCGCGCGGCGGCGGCGGCCGCATACAGGGAGCAGGTGGGGGCGGCGACGGGTCTCGTGCAGGCGGCCTGTTTGCACGCTGCCACCGCCACAGGGGGCGCTGGAGGCGCAAGTGGCAGCCCTGCGGCTGTAGAGTGAAGAAGACCAGGTGTGTCCACCCTGCGGCCAGCACCGCCGCATGCCCTCTCCGACTCGGCCTGCGCTCTACGATCTCCTGGGCGCCCCACCCACCCGGCCCCCGCCGGAACGCATCCCTTCGCCGCCACGGTGCGGGTCGCTTGAATCCAACCCAGGTGCAGGAGGCGGGCTCGCGCCTCGCTGCGCTCTCAGCGGTGTGCGATGACTTTACTGATCAGTGCATCGTACGCGAGCGCACCGCCCTTGCCTCGCAAGGCAAGGTTTTCAAGGCGCCCAGCAAGTATGTGCCGCTCGTCAGCGAGGCATTGCTGATGGGTGGCAAATATGTACTGTCAAGTGGAGACTCGCCCACCGCTGCAAGCGCGCGCAGTGCGCTCGAGTCGGTATACGACGCGTGTGCCCGCGTCGAGGCCGGAAGGAGCAGGGTGCGGGGGCAGCTGGCCGCGGCCCTCAAGGAGCGCGACGACGAGCGCTGCCGGGCCAATGGGCTCAGCGCGGCGGCGGCGGCGGGCAAGGCGCTGCAGGTGCGGGGTGGCGGCGGCCCGCGGCCCGCGGCCCGCGGCCTGCTTGTTGACGCCGCAAGGGGGGCCGCCGGCACCGCCCCTGACGCGTGCTTGGTGACGATTTGCGTGCTGATCGGACCCGGGGCAAGGGGGAGGGCCGGCTGCTCGCACCATGCGGCGTGCGAGCGTCCTGACTTGCCGTTGCGCCCTCCACTCTGCGCACGCACACATTCATTCACACACACACACACACACACACGCACACACACACGCACACAAACGCACACGCACACACACAAACGCACACGCACACACACACGCACGCCTGCTCGCGCACATGTACACTCTTACACGTCCGCACGGTTTATTGCCGGCGTTGGCTCCCGCCCCGTCGCAGGAGGCGGATCAGCGGGCGCTGCAGGGGCAGGTGGCTGCCCTGGAGAAGAAGGCAGGGGCGCTGCAGCGACAGCTGACGGAGGCGCAGGTGCGCGTGCCCCTGTCTCCTCTTCTTGTCACGCGTGTTGCGACCAGGGTTGGGGCGGGGCGCCCGGTTGACCTGACTGGGCCAAATTGCTCCCGCCCTCTGGCCCGCCCCGCTGCGCGCCCCCCCTTCACCCCACTCCGACCCCACTCCCGGCCCGCGCTCCTCGGCGCCCCACGCGCCCCACCCGCCCCCTGCCGCGGCCGGACCTCTATCTCGCCGCGCCGCCTCGCCGCGCCC